TGGGGCAGTGGGGGTGGGGAGGGCGCAGTCTTGGGTTCCCGGACTGGATCTGGGTCTGGCGGCCGCTGGGTTTGGAGAGGCTTCCCGTGGAGGCGCGGAATCGAGCTGCCGCGGGGAGGGTTTGGGTGGACCAAGAGGGGACCTGCTGGGTGGGTGGCAGCGCGCGGAGACTCCAGATTGCCCAAGGGCGGATTTTGACGTTTAGTGTGGGGGAAGCTTTGGGAAGGAGTCCCGTGCCGCGGGTGGGGTTTGGGTAAATGGTAAGGCTAGAAATGCAGGGGTGGGGTGAGGTGGGCTTGAAGACCCTTTTTCAACCTCTTGGAGAAACTTAGTTACAGAGCATTATATGAACTTGGGGTGAAATAGGCGAAGGAGTAAACAAAACTTTGAGATGAAGTGATCAAAAGAACAGGTAAGCTTTAGGGTGAAGTTTGATGGGGGTTAAGTTTAGGGAACCGGCTGTTTAGAAGGTCAAACACCTTCCTGGAGATAGGGTTTCTGTGAATTGAGCTAGAAGACCTAGAACTCAGGTTACAAAGTTAGGATTTGGTGATGGGAAGGGGCAAAACATGGCAAATTTGGGATGACTGGGATATAGAGCAGTCTGTACCAGGGATGGTTAAGGGAACAGAAGAATCAGGACTGTGGGAGAATTGTGGCAGGGTGGGGTCAGAAGCCTGTTGAAGTTAGGAGGGCTCCTTGCCAGGGAGCCAACCCCTCACCTGTTCTTTGTGCCCTCTCCAGCTCGGTAGCACGGCAGGCAGGTGCCATGGCCTTGATTGAAGGGGTGGGTGATGAGGTGACCATCCTTTTTGCGGTGCTTGCCTGCCTTCTGGTGCTGGCCCTTGCCTGGGTCTCAACACATACCACGGAGGGCTCCGATACCCTGCCCCAACCACCGGGGACTTCAACTCCAGCCCAGCCCAGCGAAGTCATGGCAGCCACTGACAGCATCAGAGGAGAGGCTCCAGGGGCCGAGTCCCCCAGCTTGAGACACAGAGGTCAAGCTGCACAGCCAGAGCCTGGAGTCACTGCAACAACACCACCCCCAGACTCCCCACAGGAGCCCCTCGTGCTACGGCTCAAATTCCTCAATGATTCGGAGCAGGTGGCCAGAGCCTGGCCTCATGACACCATTGGCTCCTTGAAAAGGTAAGCGGGAAAGAGGGTAGGAATCAAATGCTAAAGAATGGGGTGAGATAGACTGGGCCACCAGAAACATCTGAGACTCCTCCCTTATTTTCAGTTTGAGGGAATGGAGCTGCCCAAAGTGTACACTGTTCTTGTTCCCCTGCAACAGACTGCCTCCCAGAGGCCACTGCCTGGGTGGTGTGTGGAGGGCAAAAGGGAAGAATGGGAGCCTTGCTCTGGGCAAGGGACTAGGATTGCCTGAGGCCTGCTCTCTTACCCAGGTCCCTCTCTCCTCAGGACCCAGTTTCCCGGCCGGGAACACCAGGTGCGACTCATCTACCAAGGCCAGCTTCTAGGAGACGACAGTCAGACGCTGGGCAGCCTTCACCTCCCTCCCAACTGCGTACTCCACTGCCACGTGTCAACGAGGGTCGGTTCCCCACATCCCCCCTGCCCACCGGGGTCAGAGCCAGGCCCCTCCGGGCTGGAAATCGGCAGCCTGCTGCTGCCCCTGCTGCTGCTGCTGCTCCTCCTGCTCTGGTACTGCCAGATCCAGTACCGGCCCTTCTTTCCCCTGACCGCCACCCTGGGCCTAGCCGGCTTCACCCTGCTCCTCAGTCTCCTGGCCTTTGCCATGTACCGCCCATAGTGCCTCCACGGGCTCTTGGTGGTGTAGCCAACCCCTCTGGACCTCACTCCCCACGTCGTGGTGGGAGCTGCTGTCTGCCCAGGCCAGCTTCTCCAGCCTGCCTCTTCCCATTACCCTGGAGCCCAGCCCTGCGTCGCAGGGGACTCCGGGAACTGGCAGAGTCCCGCCCCTGTGATCTCCATGGCTCTGGACCACCTTCTGGGGCTGCTGGCCCTCAGCCTTCACTGACAGTTGGCTCTTCAGGGTCAGGCACTTGCTGTCGTTGCCTTGGCCCTGAACAAAGACGGCCCACTCCCCTGGGCCCGTCTTAGTGCTCTGCCTTTGGACTCAGCCATCCTTAGTCCCAAGACCTCCTTGGCTGATTTGGGCACCTTCGGACTGTGGGAGGCTGGTGACAGGGAGCTGGGAGGGGCAGAGGCATTCTCTGGAACTTGTGCAGATTAAAATAACTGTGAAGTTTTCACTCTGTTGTGTGTCTGTGCGGACCTGGGATGGGGAGGGCGGGAAGGCCTTGCTCCGGGAGAAAAGGGGAAAGGACGAGTACTAGGCCCTCAGGCCCCTGCAACCTGCTCAGGCCGGCAACTGACCCCTTACTCTGCGCAGATCCGCCAGCTTCAGCTTTTGGTTCTGTAGCCCCGCCCCTCCAGCTGTGGCCCCGCCTCGCGCGCCACGCGCGCACTTCCCGGAAGCGGGGGGCGGGCTCAAGGCGCCCCGGCTCGCAGCGCCTGTCGGGAGCCACGTCTCTGCCGGCCGAGCGCTGCGCCGGGATTGGCGTGCAGGCTGCGATTCGGGGGCTGCTGTGGGAAGATGGCGGACTCGGTGGGCCGCCGATGAGGAGGCCGCGGGGGGAGCCCGGCTCCCGGGCCCCGAGACCGACTGAGGGAGCGACCTGCGCGGGGCCCGGGGAGTCATGTAGGGTGGCGCCTGCGGGGCGGGCCGCGGGAGGGCGGCGGGAGCTGGCGTTAGCGGCGGTGGCCACGGTCTCCTGACGTCCCCGGGCCAGGGCGGGTGTGTGGGCCCCCAGCATCGCGGACTCCTCGCCTTCTCAAAGCTGCGCTCTCTTCTCCGCGCGCACCCTTCGACTTGGGGCGCTGTGTTCTCTTTTCATGGGTGAGGAGACTTAGGCAGAGGCGAAGCCACTTGCCCAAGGTCACGCAGCTGGTAAGTGGGAGCGCCCAGCATGGGACCCAGCACCGTCCTGCTGCGGAGCCCGCGTTCCGCCCTCCGTGCCGCCGCCGCCTCCTGCGGGAGGGGGAGGTGGTCGGGAGGGCGCATCGCGGGGCCGTCCTGGCTCCAGGCTGGGCGCGACCACTAACCCGTGAATGACCTCGGGCTTAACTTAACCTCTTCGTCGCTCTGGCCCTTGGTTTCTCCACCTGTGAAATGAGGTAATGCCAGCCCTGCGACTCCTCATCGGCCTGTACGGAGCATCAGAGGAGATAGTGCATCAGAGGAGATAGTGCATGTGGAATTGCTTTGTGAATTGCGCTGCGCTGAGCACACTGAAGGATTAGGATTGCTGTTTCAAGGAATGAAAAGGGAAAGAGGGCAGGGTGGAGAACAGGACCAGAGCAGTCACAGAGGGTTGCTCAGACCCCAGGCCCCTCTGGATGGGGAGTGAGGTAAGGAGTAGACTGAGTCCTTTGCCCCTTTGGAGGAAACCTCACTCCCTTTTCTGGGCCACCCTCAGGGTCTCCATCACCCAACTCCATGCTTCGAGTCCTGCTCTCTGCTCAGGCCTCCCCTGCTCGGCTGTCTGGCCTGCTGCTGATCCCGCCAGTACAGCCCTGCTGTTTGGGGCCCAGCAAGTGGGGGGACCGGCCTCTTGGAGGAGGGCCCCGTGCAGGCCATGTGCAAGGACTGCAGCGGCTTCTGGAACAGGCGAAGAGTCCTGGGGAGCTACTGCGCTGGCTGGGCCAGAACCCCACCAAGGTGCGCGCCCACCACTATCCTGTGGCACTTCGTCGCCTGGGCCAGCTCTTGGGGTCTCAGCCTCGGCCCCCTCCTGTGGAGCAGGCCACACTGCAGGACTTGAGTCAGCTCATCATCCGAAACTGCCCCTCCTTTGACATTCATACCATCCACGTGTGTCTGCACCTTGCAGTCTTACTTGGTGAGGAGGGCGTCTGGGGGTGTGGGGGCTTAGGGAAGGATAAAGGGAGAGAACAGTACACAGGTCACTGCTTTTGCCCAGGAGTAGCACATACCCAGATACACTTGTTACTGCCCCTCCTGTATCCACGACAGATGTCACAAGTTGAACAGCATTCATTCCAGATTCACAGGGTGCCACCCCAGCTTCCTTCTACAGTGCTCTCAGAAGCCACTGCAGTTCTTGGCAGGAGTTGAGGGCCTTTTGCCACCTTTGTATAAAGCTTTCCCTGACAGACTGCTCTGATATGTATCCACCTGAAACTTCACATTTCTCCAGTGTTTTCACATGAACTTGAGTGTATATTCCCGCTCAGGAAATGGAGGGGAGAGAGATCAGGACTCACCCCATGATTAGAAAAACACAGCACAACTCTCTCATCAGGACCTCCTTTGCCTCCTCTCAGGCTTTCCATCAGATGGACCTCTGGTGTGTGCCCTGGAGCAGGAGCGAAGGTTTCGCCTTCCTCCAAAGCCACCTCCCCCTCTGCAGCCTGTCCTCCGTGGTGGACAAAGGCTAGAAGCTGCTCTGAGCTGCCCCCGTTTCCTGCGGTATCCGAGGCAGAATCTGATCAGCAGCCTGGCAGGTGCTGGAGGGTGGAAGGCAAATGGAGGGCAGGGGCTGAGGAGGACATGGGAATTAAGTTGTCTGGGCTGGCAGTCTAGCCTGCCAGCGGTCAGGGCCCAGCATGAAGTGAGGGCTGTTCTTCACAGAGGCAAGGCCAGAAGAACTGACTCCTCATGTGATGGTCCTTCTGGCCCAGCATCTCGCTCGGCATCGGTTGCGGGAGCCCCAGCTTCTGGAAGCCATTGCCCACTTCCTGGTGGTCCAGGAAGCCCAGCTCAGCAGCAAGGTGGGCTTGCCTCCCACCCTCCCATGCTCCTCTGTGAGTCATCCTCAGTGACCAGGTCAAGCCTAGCCTCCTATCCAGCATGACTAGCCTCTTCCTCTGGCAGAAACACTCCAGCTAGGTTGCTCTGCTCCATGCCCTGGGGAGTATATCTCTGTGCTGGCTTTTCCAACCTCAATAACCAACATGGATGCCAAGAGCTCAGCAGTTGTACCAAAGCACTCAGCCTCATCCTAGTTCCGCCTGTCCTGCTTTTCCAAGTCTGCAGGCCAGACCCCACAGAATGTACCTTCTTCTTGTCTGGTCACATTTGGCTCAAAGACACTGCTTATACTGTTGAACTTGTGTATATGCTGGGGTAGAGGAGTGTTGTGCCTTGACAGTGACGTTACAGGCTAGGCCATTCCTGCCTAACACTCAGCTTGAGAGACTTGGAGCAGCACTTCCTGCCAGTTGACATGCTGCTCTTCTCCACAGGTGGTACAGAAGCTGGTCTTGCCCTTTGGGCGGCTGAACTACCTACCCCTGGAGCAGCAGTTTATGCCCTGCCTTGAGAGGATCCTGGCTCGGGAGGCAGGGGTGGCACCCCTGGCCACAGTCAACATTTTGATGTCACTGTGCCAGTTACGGTGCCTGCCCTTCAGAGCCCTGCACTTTGTCTTCTCTCCGGGTTTTATCAACCACATCAGTGGTATGCAGAGAGGATGGCTGGAGGGGCCTGAGACCCCAGAGGTCAGGGAGCACCCAGGGATCATTGGCCTACACCATGCTCCAGTCCCCACCTCCCCACAGGCACCCCTCACGCTCTGATTGTTCGACGCTACCTCTCCCTGCTTGACGCGGCTGTGGAGCTGGAGCTCCCAGGATACCGGGGCCCCCGCCTTCCCCGAAGGCAGCAAGTGCCCATCTTTCCGCAGCCACTCATCACCGACCGTGCCCGCTGCAAGTACAGGTGGGCAGGCAGTCTGGGGTAAGGGGAGGGAGAGCCAGAGCAGCACAGTAGAACAGCTAGAGACCATAGACAGCAGTACCTGCACCAGTGTGCTTAGGGGTCCTAGAGGGGAAAAAAATGGGCCCTGACCAGTCAAGGGATTTTTCCTGGGTGTTGGTGCTATGGACAGATTGGGATGAGACCTTGGGGCCTGTCTTCTACCAGTATCATTTCCCCTCAGTCACAAGGACATAGTAGCTGAGGGGCTGCGCCAGCTGCTGGGGGAGGAGAAATACCGCCAGGACCTGACTGTGCCTCCCGGCTATTGCACAGGTGAGCTCCTGGTGGGGGGCAGCTCCAGAAGTGGAGCTAGGCTAAGGCCCTGGCTCTCTTCCCTGCAGACTTCCTGCTGTGTGTCAGCAGCTCTGGTGCTGTGCTTCCTGTGAGGACCCAAGACCCCTTTCTACCTTACCCACCAAGGTCCTGTCCACAGGGACAGGCTGCCTCTAATCCTACGACCCGTGACCCTGCCCAAAGGTAAGAAAGCAGGGTGTGGGAATCTTGACCCCCTGGCCAAAAGCACCCATAACATGTCTACTCCTCTCCAGGGTGGTGCTGATGCTGCGTGAACGCTGGCATTTCTGCCGTGATGGCAGGGTGCTGCTGGGCTCCCGTGCCCTGAGGGAGCGGCACCTGGGCCTAATGGGCTACCAGCTCCTGCCGGTGAGAGGCCCCACCCTACCCGGTCCTCATCCTCATCCCTGCCATGCAGGTAACCCAGTGTCCTCTCCCCACAGCTGCCCTTTGAGGAACTGGAGTCACAGAGAGGCCTGCCCCAGCTCAAGAGCTACCTTAGGCAGAAGCTCCAGGCCTTAGGCCTCCGCTGGGGGCCTGAAGGAGGGTGAGGGGATGCACATGGGGCTCAGGATGGCCCCCCTATGGGGGGTGGACAATTTGCACTTTGGATCCCTATGTTTTGATTTTTCATTAAAGTCCCTTTCCTTCCCTGTTGTGAGTCTCATTTCTGTGACAGAGAGCAGGGCTGAGTACCCCATTCCCTGCCACTTCCACTAGACAGATAGACAGACAAGACCAGGGGTAGGTGGGGGCCGAAGCACTTTACTGCAGGGGTGGGGAGAAGGGGACTTTAAATTATTCACTTAAATAAAAACTGGGAGGGGGAGGGGAAACCCATCCCACCAGCCCATTCCCTCTGTCCATCATTCAGTCCCTGGGCAGCAGCTACACAGGCATGGGCATCTCATTGTATTCGTCCACACCCTCGCGCTCATCAAACACTGGCTCCGCCTCATTAGCGTCCAGCTGTGGGAGGAAGAGAAGGGTGGGCCTTTCCAGAACCACAGGAGGCAGGGGTGGGAGGGTGGGGGAGCAGGGATCCTTACATATTTCATCTCTCGCTCGGTGAAGATACGGGTGAGCACCACCATGCGCAGTGGTACTGTGAGAATGAGGATGAAGGGGAAGGCCAGGGAGGCGGATGTGGACATAACAGCCCAGAGCAGGGCCAGGCAGAGCAGCTGCAGAGCTGTGAACACGTGCATTCGCAGGGTCCGAACCTGGTTGGGAAGAGACAAAGTGAGCCCAGGCTTCTCTCCAAAGCAACCATATCCAGAGGACAACCAGAATGATCCTTGGGATCCTCTAGTGATGGAAGTAGCTCAGATACTTCCAGAGACTGCTCTGTACCGATGGTTAATGGGGGCTTCCTAAAGTGGGGAAAAGCAGCTGACTCAAGTAAACCAGAATGGGGCAGAGGTCTGGGGTCCTTCTAGGCGAGGACTCACCTTTTTGACGTAGGTGACGTCTGGATGGTGTTTGGGTGGCATGAGCAGCAGGTGCAACCGTTCATAGAACTGGATCCCATTAAGGGAAGTGACTCCCATGTACAGGAAAATTCCAAAGAGCACAGCCAGGGGGATCTGCCGGAGCAGATCCCCGATAACCATGGAAAGGCCTAGAGAGGGGGAGAAACAGCTAGCCCCAGGTTCCTTCCCCCAGGGGCCTTGGGTACCACAAGGAAGGTTGTGGATAAGGGGAAGCATACCCACAAGCAGGGCCACCAGCAGGCCTGTAACCCGCTGTTCTTTGACCTCCTGAATCTTGGGCTTGTCCCCCGGCGCCACAGCCTTGCTCATGACAGTGAGTGCGTTGGCATGAGTGACAGAGCGGACAGTGGCAGCAGCCAACCAGGGCAGGCCAAAGAGGGCACAGATGCCACCCATGGCTACGATGAGCAGCAGGTCCAGGTGGAAGCCAGAGCCCTTCTGCAGCATTCGCTCCTTCTTAGAGATGATCAGCCTGGGGAGGGGGGAGGCACTGCTAAGGCCTGCCATACCTGGTGTGGCCAGAACACCCCAGCCAGTCCCTGTGTTTATGGAACCTGGTAGTCCCTGTCCATTCCATCAGGACTAGAATTCCATCATAGAGTTCAGTGTGCGCCCTCAGCCCTTATCCTGTAGGAGAGCTCCCAACAAGCCTTAGCCTGTACTCTGTCCTCCCCCTGGCCAACCTCAGGTTTTGTTTTGGAGTTTTTGCTGTTGTGGGGATGGAATCCAGGGCCTCGCACGTGCTAGACAAGCACTCTACACTGAGCTACATTCCCAGCCCCTCAGTGATGTTTTCTGGTGCCTATAAAACTTCAGCCATCAGGGCATTCAATGTCCCCCAAAGTCATTGGACTCTCTTGCCCAAGAGAGTAGCAGTTCCCATGTGTGTCCCCAAGTCTGGCTGAGGACTCTGGCCTTCTGACAGCCCCAGGACTCTCAAACAGGACCACACACGTGGTGATCTGCGTCTCCATGAAGATGAGGATGAAGACCAGGACGGCAGGCAGCAGGCTGGCAATCATCATCCACACAGGGAAGGGACTCTTCTCCCCCAGGGGGTTGATGACCCAGCCCCGCTTTTCTGGAGCTGTCACTGAGAATCCACTGGGCACACTCAGCTTCTGCAGGGCAGAGACAGTATGTACTCATGGGCAGGGTGGACATGGAGGGCACACTGGGGGAAAGGCTTGGTATTTCCCCAGCTTAAGGACAGGCTCTGGCTCAGGCCTGGAGTGCAACACCAGAACCCAGGGTGGTGGAAACGGCACCCTGCTGTCACACGTACAATGCCTTACCTGGGTGTAGGTGTCCTCAATACTGTAATCCACAAGCACCATGATGAGGATTGCGATGGGCACCCCAAAGTCCCCAATCACCCGCCGTATCTGAGGACAAGAACCATGCTCAGAGACCTGTTGTGCCACTCAGACCCTCACTTCCTGGAAACACCGCATCCCATTCCCAGATCTCCACAGCCTGCAAGTCCACGTACCCGGCCGGGGAAGAACCGGCTATTCTTGAATTTGCGTAGGAAGAAGGCAATGAAGAAGGTGCCAGCCATGAGCACCAGTGACAGCAGGGCTGTGTTGGGCTGGCCCCGGGGTCTCCCTTGCCCAGACTGCCCAGCCAAGCTCCCATTGCCTGGTCCCAGTGTGGTTGTTGCTCTGGCCCACGTTATATTGTCGCTGTCTGCCTCTGAGCTATTGGAGACTGAACAGCCGTGGAGGGGATGCTCCTGGAAGATCTGGGGAAAGAGGAGGGTCACCATGGGTCCCATTAGCTAAAATGGGGAGAAAATTCTTGGGTTCAGCTGAAAATTGGAAGGCTAGCACAGGAGGGGAAAAGGCCTGCCAGGAGCTCATCTCGGATTAAAAATATAACCCAGAGGACCAGCTGGGAGCAGTGGGGAGAACAAGCCTCAGCTCTGTGGGCTCCATGGACTGCAAGTCCAGGGAACTCCTGGGACCAGCCTGGCCTCCGGTCTAGAAGAAGACATGAGACAGGATGCTCCTGGACTCCCTCCTGCCCTGAAGCCTGCTCTTCTCCCAGCCCTGTTTTGAGCAGGGCCTGCCTACCTTGACCAGCTTGTAGAAGGTCTCATAGATGAAAATGAGGGAGATAAGGAAGGCGAAGATCTCCTGGGTGAAGCGGGAGACAAAGCGGACCAGGAAGCTCCCCTCCAGGGCCACCATGAGCAGGGCCAAGAGCACCAGCCAGAAGCCAATCCACACGCGGCCCACCAGGTACTCCAGCTGGTTGCTACTACAGAACTAGGCAGGGGAGGTGGGAAGGTATCAGGCCCCGAGCTCTGGGGGCAATGGGGGAGATACTGGGAAGAGAAGGGGGAATTGGACCAAGGCAGAAAGAGCCCTCACCGAGAAGAAGGCTTCCTCAAAGACCAGCAGGGGGCCCGAGAAGCCAATCACCAATAATGGCTGAGCCCCCAGCAGACAGAAGATCACACCCTGGAGCGCTGTGGACATGATCAGCTCTGACACGCCTATCAGATCCTGCGTCTTCTCTCCTGGGGGTGCAGGAACCAGCTCAGCTCAGCGGCCAGGCTGTGCACCCCGGTCCCTATGAGCTCCTCCTTACCCAGCAGCCCCCCAAAGGTGATGGCAGGAGACAGAGCAGCAAAATAGATGAAGATGACGGCAGCCAGACACTGGGGGTCAAGTGCATCTCGGAAGTCACTCAGGTAGTGGGGATAGCGACGCTTCACATCACGGATCAGGCCCCCGAAGGGCCGGCCCGTCCGACGAAGGGGATCATCTTCAGCTGCACCTACCACCTCCACCATCTGCAGGAGTGCTACAACCCAGGCTGATGTCAGGGCAGCTGTGGGGCCCTCCTGCCCACTGACCAGGACCTAATCCATGTGCACAGTCCACCCACCACCTGCAGAAGCACTGCCAACCCCAACTCTCTGTTGGTGTCTGTGTGGCTCTCCTGCCCACCCAACCCCTCCTCAAGGCAGCCCCATCTGGCTCAGGCCTGCATGGCCGTACCCTTATCTTGGGCAGACTTGGGCTCCAGCCCAGATCCTGGGGGCAGCAGCCGGCCCTGCTCTTCCCGTTTCTTGAGCATCTGGCGCTGGAAGTGAGCGACAGAACGCAGGAGTTCCTCGCCCTGTACTTCCGAGGGGGGGAGCACCACGCTGCAGTCCAGGAAGGCATTGATGGCAGTCAGCAGGTCATCCCGTTCATCTGCCAGATAGGCTGCCTCATGGAATTGCTGCCAGAGCAGGACAGGAGTCAGGGAGGGCACCAGAGGGGGCCAAGAGGTGGAGCTAAGGCAACCAGGACTGGCAGTGGGGAGTAGGGGTGGCTTCGGGGACCAGAAAGGCAAGGGGCTGACCTTGTCGGACATGAGGGTGGAGATAGAGCGGCCGATCTCGTGGTAGTCCATGTTGGCGCTGCTGGGGCCCAGCAGCAGAAAGAGGAAACGCACGGGCACAGGCACCTCCAACACTGCATCCAGTTCTACAGCCTCCCGTAGCCGCACGAAGGCCATGGTGGGGCGGGAGAGGAACTCCACACAGCCTAGGAAGATGGGCCATCATGGGCAAGAACACACAGCAGGACCCCACCCAGTCCCAGCCCCTGCTGAGACTACCACCCCAGCCCTCAGACTTGCCCCACATACCCACGAGGACCACGGTAGCCTCGGCATTCTCAGGGATCTTCTCTAGCAGCTTTAGCTCATGCTTAGACTTGGAACGAATGATGCCAGCTGGTGGGGCTGGAGGTGGCAGTTCACGCTGGGGGGGTCACAGAATGGAACTCAGTCCAGGCAGCCTCCCTGACCCCACGTGTTCCCATCAGGGCTTGCTCACAGGACTGTGCCCACGCAGGTCTGTGCCCACTCCTCACCTCTCGATCCACCTCCAGCCGGGTCTCAGGAACACCACCAATGAGAGGCTCAGTGACGTGTGGGTCACTCTCAGCCCCCTGGGGATGGTGATGCCCTAGCAGGGAGCCCAAGGAGCCAGCTGAGATGTTACGGGGGAAGGAGAAGTCCTTCTCATCACTCGGGTGGCTGGCACGACAGACAGCAGTGAGTGTAAGGAGGGATGACGGCAGGGAAGGAAACAGATGGGCAGGATGCAGTGGCATCCACCTTCCCCAAAGAGCCATACCTGTGTTTCAACAGAAGGGCCCGCAGCACATTGGCCCTGTCCTCGGCCTTGATCTGGTCGGAGATGACCATCTGCTCTACTACTTGGTGGGCCACCCCAGGCAGGGTCTGCTGGTCCAGATCCAAGAGCACAGCTCCTGGAATAAAGATGACAGGAGGACTCCCCACCTCAGGGCAAGAAACAATGGTGGGAAATGGAATGGGAGGGATCGCTTGGGACAGACAGGCCTAACTAGGTGGGTACGGTCCAACCTACAAACCGAGGATCAAGGCTGGAGTCCCAGCTCTGCCTCTGAAGTCTGTATCACTTCGCCTCTCTGACCTATTTCTCCCCACCCCCATCTCCTTCCAGAACTGCAGCAAGGAGAGACTCAGTTATCACACACCCTTCCAGGAATCATCCAGCCTCCCTGGGATGCCTAGGCCACTCTCAGGCTGAACTCAGTTCTTTCCTTAGTGATTCATGTGCTGTTCCTCTAGGGTCCTACCTCTACCCTCTACATCAGGACACAGCTGGTCTGTGGCCTTGTCTACATGTCCTTAAGCCATCTGAAGACCCTCCTCCACCTCAGACTTAGGCTTTGCTTCCCCAAGCCCAGTGGCTGCTTACTGGGAAGCCTCCAGACCTCTCCGCACCCTTTCCTGTAGAAAGTCCTTTTAAAAGTACCAGGTCTTTATCTGGCAAGGTCAACTTCCAGGAACAAAGAACTGAAGAATACACAGAACCAAAGGACTCCAGCAGCCAAAGCAGATCACAAAGGCTAATGATAAAACACAGGCAGCCAGCACAATGGCATGTGCCTATAATCCCAGCAACTCAGGAGGCTGAGGCAGGAGAATCACAAGTTCAAGGCCAGCCTCAGCAACTCAACTTTTATTTTAATAAAAATAAAAAAGAGCTGGAGATATAGCTCAGAGGGACTGGGACTGGGCACAGTGGTGCAGGCCTCTAATTGCAGCAATTCAGGAAGCTGAAACAGGAGGATCATAAGTTCAAGGCCAGCCTCAGCAACATAGCAGGGCCCTAAACAACTTAGTGATACCCTGTCTCAAAAAATAAAAAAATAAAAAAGGGCGGCTGGGAATGTGGCTCAGTTGCAAAGTGCCCCCAGGTTCAATCCACAGTACCAAAAAATAAAGCACTCTGGCCCTTTACTCAAAGTGCCTGAAGCCTTACTTAGAGCCTAATACTCTTAGTTTGAGAACAATTTTAACAGCAGGTTTCTCAATCCTCAGCTACTTAGAATAAGAACAACTGGGAGTGATTACCAGCTGGGAAGGAGGAAACAAACAGCCACAGGGCTCAAGAGTCCTGTGTGGTAGTTTATCCAGCCCCACAGGTGAGATCATATTCCCCAGGTTTTCTACAATGCAAAGGAGCCATGACAGGAATTTCAGGAAGCATTCCATTGAAATGGCTTAAAGACATTTTAGCACCCCAAACACAACAGATCAGTCATCAGATCTAGAAGCAGCGAGTATCCTGCAGCAGGATGGACAGGGGAGGCAGGCACTGTGGGTACCATGGGCCAGGGTCCGGCGGAGCTCCAGGAGACTGCGAAAGGAGAGTGAGGCCACATGGGGCTTCCCCCAGCGCTCGGTCTCCTCCTCCACGTCCTCCTCAAATTTGATCCAACGGGCTGTCTCCCGCCACTGAGGCTCCTGGTTTTTGTCCAGCAGCAACTCATTCAACTCCACAAACACCTTGGGGCAAGATGAGAAGGTGTAGGGTAAGGAGTCAGAGGTGGGCTCAGGCAAAGCTTGCATCAGGAAGAGCAAGTGGCCCTGGGGCACAGTGGATGGCACATAGACACACAAGTCTCACATGAGGCCTAGGAACCTGGAACACGTGACTACCAATTTGAGCCTGGGTTTCCCTTGTCTATAAAAGACAACAACGCCCACTTCCTCCAAGGGCTGTTATAGGGATTAAAGAAAGCCTGTAGGACATAAGTATACTCCAGGACACAGTGCCTGGCAGGTCGCTACCTAAGAAAACAGCAGGGTTCTGTGAGATTCCGTTTGTATGTAGCCAGGACTGGAAAAACGAATTGCAAATAACAGAGCCTGGTCACCTCTGCTGGAAGACTGCTGGGTGGAGGCAGGAGGAACCTGCTGAGGGTGAAAAACAGTCCCCACGGAGGTAGTAGCTATCTGGGAGCAACAGGTGCACCAAGTCTCTGAGCTGGACACTCAGTACTGGTGAAATTTACTGCATGGCTATTATACCTCAATAAAACAGCTTAAAAAAAAATACACTAAGGCAGAGTTCAGGACCAGAGCCCTGGAGTCTAAAATGGGTAGTGTCACTAAGTAACTAGGTGACCTTGGCCAAGTCACAGACCCTGGTTTATGACTGACGCCACCTGTGCTACCGCCTTCACAGGTAGATGGGAGGATCAAATAAGCAGAGGCAACTGGGTTTTGAAAACAAAGTGCAGTGCCACAGAACACCTCCTCCAGCCTTAAGGGTCTTTGTTCGAAGCCGAATAAGGCATCTCCCTGATTCTTTACTGCCTCCTGCCAGCAAATGGCCACAATATGCACATCAGCAAGGTCTCAAGTATGAACCATAATCATAATACACAAATTCACAATGTTTCAGATGTGCACCGATCCACAGTGTCCATGTCAAACAACTCTTAAGGTTCATCCCCACAGGCAGCAACCCTGGTGCTCAAGAAATATGGGTCTGAGAGGTAGGGGAGTGGGGAAGGGGGAGGCAATGGATGGGGAGAAAATGCAACAGCATGAAGCAGAACTGTACCTCATGGGGCTTGTGGGGGGCCCGGGGTCGGGCCCGAGGCGTGGGGCCGGGCTCTCGCCCTTCCCGCACACTCTGCACAGACCCTTTGGCGTTCTTCCGTACCAAATGCCGTCGCACCCCAGGAACATCCTCAAACCTGTGACCTAGGGGCAAGTAGAGGACCAAGATTGGGTTCCCCTTTCTCTTACTCTTTTTCCTACCAGCAGTGGGCTTGGCCCAGGCCCTAGGACTCACTCTTCATGAGGTCAAGGTCAGCCGTGGCTAGCGTCTGGGCCTCACTTTCATCAGTGGGGACACGGGGCAGCAGTGCTTGCTCTGCCCCGGTCATACTCCCAATGCGTCTTCTCTCCTGAAGGTTGTAGCTTCGATGCCCAGGCTGAGCTTTGGTCAGGGGGCGCCCCGAGGCACCCCCATCGTCACCTCCAGCTGTGCCACTGGCCACTGGTACCACCTCCTCCACCAGTGTTCTGCAAACAGAGTAGCCATGAACCTGACAGAGCGGACCTCCACCCATGCAGAGGATCCTAGGAAGGGAATTAGGAAGGGACCTCACCTCCTCCTGGCTCCCACTCTTGGGGGTCACCAGAAGGCCAATCTGCACATGAATTCCTCTTCAGCAGAACGGGGCTGAGGCGAACCTCGAATGGTACTGGGAGAGGTGAAATTTTGGGAAAGAACTAGCACAGGGTATGGTTCCTAACTGGTGTTTGTGAATGTCTCTTTGTACCAGTTAGCATTCCTTCCCTTCCCCTCCGCCTGCTGGGGCATACCCCTGGATTTAAGAAGTTCACAGGGCCCCCGTTTCTGATCAAAGAGAACAAAGTATGTGCAAACAGTTTTGGAACTGCAGCCAGCTCCTCCGTGTTTATGAGGAGGGTCTGTGCCTCCCCTCAGACTCCCACTTCTGCCCCAGTCCCTGACACGTGCTGCTCCTCTCTCCTCATATGAAGAGCCTCCTGGGACCAGAGTCATCCACTGCCAGGCCTTTCCAGCCCATCATGGCTTGTCCCCTGTCTCTGCCACAGCCCTGCCCACTTCTCTCTTCCTCTCCCTAATGCCAGGCTTTCCTGTCACTGCCAGCTCTGCATGCCAGTCTGCCTCCCAGTATAGCTACTCCCCCAAGGGGGCACTGTGCCCTTCACTTCCCGCAACCCAGCCCTTCACGCTGCCTGGCACCCAGAAAAACAGGTCCAAGATAGTCATGACCTTGTTCGAGGTCATTTCCTCCAGGAAACCTTCCCAAGCTAGTGCCCCCAAACTCTCATCACCCACTCACTGGTACTGATGCTCTGTCCAAGATACTAGATGCAGTGACAGTATTCTGGCACCATTTCATTTGACATTCAGTTTCCAATTGGGTGAACTGACATCTCCCCAGGAATGAGGGGGGTGGTCTCCTATTCCTTTCAAACCCTGTGAGTCTTAGCAGGTGCTGGGAGGTCACGGTCTAATCCCCAAGGCAGTGCTTGGGTGGGGACTGAGACTGCTAAACCACACTTGCGACCTTAACTAACACCTGTCTGCAGTCCCTCCTCACTAGGTCCTGTTAGGCTGGGTTTACAGTCAATAAACAGAGCTCAGAGAGTTTAGGTCGGCTGCCCAAACAGCTAGTGAGGGGCAGGAATGGATCTGAACCCCAGTCTGGTGACTCTACTTCTGGTAAACCCCAGTCTGGTGTCTACTTTGGGAGAGTGACAACCAAGGTGCACTTACCCAGTTTGGGCCCCTTTGGTGGCCCGGGGAGCTGCCTCCTGGTGTGGCAGTTGTGCAGGGGGAGATGGACTGGTCCTCTCTACCTTCCGGTCAGTGCCTTCATCCTCTTGGAGAAAGAACTGCAACAGGGCCCACATGGGCACGTGAGGCCAGGCCAGGCCAGGCCCTGCACACATCCCCCTGGAAGCCCAGGCCTCACCTGTACAGAGGAGGGTGTGGAGGCAGGAGATGGCTGAGTGAGTGCCCGGGCCCCCTCAGCCTCACTGGCCTCATCCTCATCTTCCTCCCCCTCCTCAATGGTGGGGGTTTCCCCAGTTGGGGAGGCTCCAGGGCGCCTTCGAGGCTTCCGTCCAGGGCCCTGGGGGGTCTTGCGGCGGCGGGCATCCGGAGGCAGATGAGTGGACAGTGGGTGGTGGATGTGGTGGGAGGACTGGCGATGGTCTGAAAGGAAGAGAGGTCACAACATCCCCCTGCTGCTATCCTGCCGCCAAGGACAGCTCTTCCCACTGGGACCCTGGCCCCTTCTCTGCTGGACAGTCAAGTCCTCCCCCACCCCCACTCCTGCCTGTTCCCTCACACTCAAAGTCTTCCTCTCCATAGCTTCGGCCTGGCTCCTCCCCTCCTCTGGACCCAGTCTCCTGGAGGATCTCTTCAAACCGTTCAACTCCCAGGGTGCGGTGAAGTTCATCTTCCTCCTGTTCTGGGAACCCAGGTGTCCCAGGGCCCACACTCTCTGGCTCTGGCTGTAAGGATGAGGGATAGAGAAAACACACAGGAGTCACTGGGAATCACATACCCAAACCCTGTCCTACTCAGTGCCAGAGATTCAGTATCCCCCATTAGCCGTGCCCTCCAATGCAGGGACCACCCCAGCCCCACAGAAGTCATTCCCTGCAATGCCAGAGATCCAGTCCCCCTCCCCCACCCCCCGCAGCCTGTTCCCTGGGTCCCCAGCTGAATAGGCCCAGTCTACAGTCAGACCCAGGGCAGGCAGGAGGGTCTACTCTGGGAATCTCAGAAATCCTGTCTCCCCTCTGCAGCTGGAAAGTAGGGTGTGCAACCCAGGCAGTTCAGTGATAAAAAGTGAAAAAAAAACTCTTTTTGGTTCCTGGAGGACAACTGCTGAGCCCCAAAAGTAACTTTTGGGGGCATCCAAGCTAACTGACCTGGCGTAATTCTGAGTCAGACAAACCCAGCCCTGCCTCCACAGGAACACGTGAGCTTTGCCTGGTCAAGGGGGCCTCCATTCACCGCAGCAAGCACCCCCACCCAGTCGGCAAGCCCCGCCCCTCACCCCCCCCAACCTGAGTCATCCTGCGGGAGTGGCAGCGGCAGCGGCAGCAGCAGCAGCAGACAGCAGCAGCAGGGCCAGCACCGGGCAGGGACTGCGGTGCTCAGCCCAGCTAAGCGCCTAACTAAGCGGCCTGCTGCCTGGCCCAGCAGCCTTGGTCCAGCCCCCAACCCACCCCCTGGCAGTCTCAGCTCCAGGCGCCGTGGCCACCAAATATTTGCTCAAGAGTATCTGGACCTGAAGGGCATCAGGACCTCCAAGGGCGGGGGTATGCAGCCCCCTCCATGGCAGTGCCAGTGTCTAGATCAGGGAAGAGCCAGGGAGGAGGGCGAAGGGTGGGTCTTGGGGAGACACGCGGGGCGAAGGGGGGGTCAACAGGAGCAGCTGCGGCTGACAGGGACTCTGGATAGAAGATGCGAGGACAGAGGGCTGGCTGGCGTCTCCAGTCTGTGCTGAGGGCTCCTGCCCAGGCAGACCCCACTCCCACCAGAAGCCGCCTGGCAGGAAGAAGCGGGCAGGAGGGGAGGGAGCGTGGAATGGGGGGGGGACTTGCAGACCCCTCGCACCTGAGGCCTCAAGAGGAAGTCCATGGCTGCAGGGGTGAACCTGGCAAGGAGGGGAGGGCATCTGCCCGCGCCCCTTCCAGTCACGTGCCCCTCTGGGCCAAAGTGACCAATAACCGGGCTGAATGTGGCACTGAGGTTAATCATTAGACTCCTTAGGAAAATCAGGAGGGGGCCATGTGGGGTGGTGACCACGTGGGGGGGCAGGAGGGGCGGATCCAATGGGCACGTGGCACCAGGGGTGGGGCCAACTATGGGGCGGGGGCAGGGCCAGCTGCATCAAGGAGCTCTGCCCAGAACTACTGTGTGTGTTTTGGGACCCATGCACATTAAGGTGGGGTCAGAGGGGACCTACTGGGTGAGACCTAGGGTCTTCAAAGTTCCTATACAGTTACTACCTGGTCCTTTATAAAACAGCCTCAACTCTATCCCCAGGAAGAGGAGCTACCTCACCACCCCCAACACATGGTAAAAGGTCAGGATATGATGACAGAGTCTCTCTCCAATTGACCACAGGCTCCTTTCTCCAGCATCTACACACACACACACCACCCCACCCAGCTGGCCCCTGGGCCTGAGCACCTGTGGCCAAAGGGCCAGTTGACTGAGCAGTACTCACCACCGTGTGGAAAGAATCTGCCCCTGAGGCGGGGCGCCGACCGCTGCTCATGGCCAAATCTTAGCCCTTTTCACTGTCGCTGCTGCTTTCAGGGCAACAAGGTGGAGGCATAACCTGGGTGGGGGAGAGGACCAGTCACCATCGGAGAGCACAGCAGGCCAGGCCCACAGGGCCTCCAGCCCCGAGGTGGGGAACGGGGAGGAAGGAGCCCAAGCTGCCTGTCACCCGGGTCTCCTTGCTGCTCAGGATCCTCCTAGACTATGAAGGGCCTCAGAGTGGCCCTTTGAGGCTACAAGAGCAAAAAGGAGAGTTATTTATAGAAAAAAAAAGAGAAGAACAAAGAGAGAGAGAGGGAGGAGAAGACTAAAGCGGAGGGCCACGAAGGGCCTCAAGACTGAGCAGAAAGTAGGAGAGCGGAGGGGGAGAGGCTGCAGAAAATGAGGGAGGAAGGAGTCAAGGCCCAGCCCTGGAGAGAAGTCGACAGAGATCAGGGAGGGCGTGATAAAGAATGGAGGAAAATTGGGAGTGAAGGGCCAGACAGAAACAGGAACCCAGCCCGAGGTGGCCCGGGAGGTGGGCCTGAGACCAGAGAGGGGTGTGGTGTCGAATGAGACACCCTGTGGAGCAGAGGGGTGTGGAGGAGGGGGCCACTGCTGCCTAGACAGAAAGGAGAGGGAGAGAAAGAACGCTGGACAGAGCCCAAGACGCCAAGCAGGGGGCCTCTAAGTAGGGAGGGGGGTGCCCCCTCCTCAAGGCAGGCTGGGCAGGGAGGCAGACCTGCCTCCTCCTCGGTGAGGGCAGGCAAGAGAAGCAAGTTCCTGGGGTGAAGGGCAGGAGCCTAGCTCCATTCACTCAGTGGGAGGGAAGAAGGGGCTGACGGTGGGCTGCTGGGCAGAGTTTTATAATGGGGGGAGGTGCACATGACCACAGCAAAGGGGTGGGCACACAAAACCCGAGGTCCTGCTCCTGATGGGCAGTTCCCATCCCTCCCCTCTTTAGTTAGGGGCCAGGAAAATCTGAGTAGCAGGGCTGCTGCCCTCCTGATGGTGACTGTAGGGGAGGCCAAGGGAACACTGTGTTGGGGGTAGGGGGTTAGAAAAGGGGGTTCTCTCTGTAGGAAGAGAACCCAACCAGTGCAAATCGGGGTACCCATTCCCAGTGGGGGCAGTACAAGGCTCTGTGAAGGTAACGATATGAAGTTCCCCGACTAGGGCTACCTTGGGGGTAAGACAGGTCAGCATAGGGTCAAAGAATAAAGGTCTGGGGGGTGGTCAGCCCAAGGTGGGGAGCCTGGGCAACACATTCTTGGCAGGCACTCCAACTCAGCTGATTGCTCTCTCCACCTCCCCCTCAGCAGGCCTTCAGCCAGGACCCGCCAGTGTGGGGGAGAGGTGTCCTGGGAGTAGACATGGACTGGGAGGGATGTGGAGAGAATCCGTCCCCTGCACCTGCAGGTGCTCACTCCCATCTCTAGGCCATACCCTCAGAGTGCTCTTCATCACCCCCTCCTCCCTCTACCCATGCCCCCCACCCCTCCCTTGCTGTCCCAGAACACAAAGCAGCTTCTGTCCACAGCATAGGTGCCTATAATCCCGGTGGGGGCACATTCCGGGGACCAGCCCTGACCGGCCCAGAGGATTAGCATCTCTCCCCCTGCCCAAGGGATTATCACCCTGGACCCCCACTTGGGCATTAACTACTCCTCAAGAGAACTGGTACATTCCACAGCTCTTTGCTGAGGGACTGGCCAAGGAGAGGAGGGAGGGTAAAGTGGACCCCGGATACCAGACAGTGCTACCCTCACAATCATCACGGAGCTCCCCAGCCAGACAAGGTGGCCCCCCCAGGAGTCAGGTCCAACTCCAGGCTTGTCTTTTCCAACCCCTACCTAGTTGCTCCCTCTTCTGCCTGACCCCTTGTCCTGACCTGACCCGCCACCCCCCCCTTTTTCGACTCCGCCTCCCAACTCCGAGATCAGGGCCGAGGCCCCAGGCCCCAGGCCACCCCCAGGACAGGCCTGAGAGAGACTGTAGGGAGGTCGCAGGGGAGAGGGGTTGTCTGGGGCTGGCCCAGGAGTGGGAGAGCCTGTGGTGGAGCCTCCCTGAGACTACCCCCTCCTGGTGGCAGGGGGCGCGGCACTCTGGCCTTAGAAACTCCAAGAAGCAGACCCCAGAATCGTAGCTTCCGACCAGCACTCTGCTCTTCTCCTCATCCCTCTCCCCAAAACCTGGTTCCCCGCGCCCCAGTCTCCGCCCTTTCCTCCACTTCCACTCCCTCCCCGCCCGCGTCCCGAGTTCCCCCCTCTCCTTCCCCCTCCCTTCCTCCCTTCGCTGCCCCGGCCCTTCCCCGCCACCACCTCTCGACTTACCCGCTTGCTCAGGATTTCGTGCCCCGGGGGTCTCGGGGTCTGTCCAAGACCTCCGGTGCCCTCTCGCGCTCCCGACGACTTCCCCGTGCCCACCCCGGGGCGCGC